CAAATTGTCACTTTATTACAACTTGCACAACTAGACAAAATATCAAATAAAAACAGTGCCCTAAATGACAAACTAAAACAAATTTATCAACTAACCATAGCTTCAACGGGCATCAGTGAAAAAACGCTTTTTGTGGCTAATGAGTGGATTCATGCCGACAACCATCATAAAACGCCTTCTGAGATAAATGATTTATTTAATAAAATTAATCAGATGGATGTCAGAAAACGTTTTGTCTTATCTGATTGGCTTTGGCAAGATTTTGCGGTCTATTGGTTATCCCAAAATCCTAATTCGCCCCTCTTAACGCCTCCCTCAACACTGACAAACCTAACACTCAATCCATGGATATTTTTAGATAAAAACATTCCCAGTCTCAATAACAAAGATCAGAAATCATTGCAAACCGATTTACAACAGCTTGCCCAAGATTATGCGGCATTACCTTCGTTAGAAAAGGAAGATTTTTATAAGACTTTTCAAAATCTTGAAGACACTCAAGCTCGAGTCGACAATCGCTTACAGAAACTCACGCCTAAGGATCAAGCTGTGATTAGCCTTTCAACGCCTGCTGCTGTTGAGAACGCTTATTATGTGCTCGCGGACAGCGAAGGCCATGTCGTTTTGCAAATTTCACCTACCCCGTCAGCTAAAAACATAAGTGTTAAACAAATTCAAAATCTTGCAGCAAGAAGTCAAAGTCTAAAGTGGTTTTATTTGCTCAAACCCAATAGCCAACTAAAAACATCTAAACAGTTTTACGCAGACCAATTACAAGATATTGCCTTGTGGCAACAAGAGAATGTCGTTTTTCTTGCCAGCAAATCCTTACGTCCAGACAAGGCAACTGAACTACCGATCGATCAGGCCATTCGATACCGTGATCAAGCCATATTAGAACACGAAAATTTTCTAAATCAATGGTTTAAAGAAAACCTTAGTGATACTTTAAGCCAAAACACCTTCCCTAACAAAATCGTCATCGTCAGTAACCGTTACAGCCAAGGGCTACCTTGGTATCTTCTTGCCAAACAACTGAGTGCCGTCTCTAAAACACTGGTCATTGTGCCTCATGAGCAAGCACCGCAATCGACCATAGTGCCTTCACTTTCTACTCGAACGGCACAAAATCCTGATCTCACGACTAACCTTCTGTCAGCCAATAAGACCTCCCTCGGACCCAAAGCACCACAAACTCCACCAGGCGATCCTCAAGACCCAACACAAACCCAAGTAAGTGCGCAAAATGTCGATGCCATCACAACGCCAAACCTTGACGCATCCGATCGTCTGACTTTGCCAACTCAACAGGATATACACCAAGACCCTCCACCTGACTCTACACCTTAAGAGAAAGCCTCATGGCGATTTTTTGATGGGCTAAATAGGTTAAAATAGCACTTCCATCAGCGATAAGCGCATTGCATTCACCTACGTGATGACCCGATTCAACCACATTGCCCACACCCATTGGTGTCAACATGCTCTTGAAACATCATGGCATGGCAATTTGGAGAGCGAAGAACTTGGGCAGAGAGCATTTCGAACGAAAACTGGTATCCATATCACACCCTACCACGATTAAAACTAGCATGACAACAGCCGAAAAAACTGAAAGCACCTCATCAGGTTCAAATTTCTTAAGACAAATCATTGACAAAGATCTTGAAAATGGAGTTTATAAGGATCGAGTCGACACGCAAGGCAAACCCTTACCCGCTGTTATTACCCGTTTCCCGCCAGAACCTAACGGTTATTTGCATATTGGTCATGCTAAAAGCATCTGCCTAAACTTTGGCCTTGCCAAAGAATATCAAGGTCGTTGTCACTTACGTTTTGATGATACGAACCCGCTCAAAGAAAACCAAGAATATGTTGATTCTATTAAAGAATCCGTGTCTTGGCTCGGTTTTGAGTGGCACGATGGACAAACACCATATGAATATTTTGCGAGTGATTATTTTGACCGCTTATATACTTTTGCCGAACAGCTCATTTTGGCTGGTAAAGCCTATGTTGACAGTCAAACTTTTGAAGAAATGAAACAAAATCGTGGTTCTTTGTATGAAGCAGGTGTGGATTCCCCTTACCGCAATCGTAGCCCCGAAGAAAATCTCGATTTGTTTCGCCGCATGAAAAAAGGCGAGTTTGCCGATGGTGAACATGTTTTACGAGCTAAAATTGATATGGCAAGCCCCAATATCAATATGCGTGACCCTGCCATTTACCGAATCAGACGAGCTCATCACCACCGCACAGGTGATGAATGGTGCATCTACCCCATGTATGATTACACCCACTGCATATCGGATGCCATTGAAAATATTACCCATTCCATTTGCACCCTCGAATTTGAAGATCATCGCCCTTTGTATGACTGGGTGATCAATACTTTAGCCGACCTAGGACAGCTCGAACGCCCACTACCGCATCAATATGAATTTGCAAGATTAAATCTTACCTATACCATTACGAGTAAACGCAAATTGCTCCAATTGGTCGATGAAAAACATGTTGATGGCTGGGATGATCCACGTATGCCCACCATTGTAGGAATCCGTAGGCGTGGTTATACCCCTGAATCTATTCAATTGTTTTGTGAACGCATTGGTGTCTCTAAAGCCGACTCTTGGATCGATATGAGTGTGTTAGAACAAGCCGCTCGAGATGATCTCAACGAACGAGCTAAACGCGCCGTGGCAATCTTGCAACCCATTAAACTCATTATCGAAAATTATCCAGAATCACAAACCGAAGACTGCTTTGCCCCCAATCATCCGCACCACGAAGACTGGGGTAAACGTACGCTACAATTTTCTCGCGAGCTCTGGATTGAAGCTAATGATTTTATGGCAGAACCTATTAAAGGCTATTTTCGTCTCTTTGTCGGCAATAAAGTTCGTTTGCGTTATGCTTATGTCATTGAATGCACAAGATTTGAAACCGACGAAAATGGACAACTAATTGTTTATGCTAACTATTTTGAAGATAGCAAATCTGGAACCGCTAACTCTGGCAACTATAAAGTCAAGGGTAATATTCATTGGTTAAGCCAACAAGAGGCATTACCTGCAACGTTAAGACAATACGGACGATTATTTCAAGTCGAACACCCCGACAAAGGTGAAGCAAATTTTTTAGACCACCTCAATGAACAATCCAAGTCCGAAAGCACCATTATGATTGAACCGAGTTTGTTACAAGCCATGCCAGAGGAACGTTTTCAGTTTGAACGCAATGGCTATTTTGTCGCTGATCGAATTTTACAAACCCCTGGCACAGCAGCTGTTTTTAATGAAATTGTGGGTTTAAAGGATACTTGGCAAAAATAAACAACGCGGTGGAAGACAACTCACCGCGCTCTATAACTCAATCAAATAGGTCTTTTAAGAACTAAGTTTGCGGGGAAGCCTCTCCAAAAAACATCTGATTATCCACATCAACGGTTTGCGCCTGAAAGTGATCAACCAAAGGGTCCATAATCTTAAACCATTGCGACGGAAACCAAGCCAAAATCATCATCGTTGGATAACCTAACGGTAACTGAGGCGACACATCAAAATGCCTTAAACTCTGATACTTGCGACTTGGCCAAGCATGGTGATCAGAATGTCTTTGAATCTGATAGAAAAAGGCGTTGGTTAATAAATGATTATTATTCCATGAATGCAATGGCGAAGTTCGCTCATAACGTCCATTTTCTAGTTGTTTGCGACGCAAACCATAATGTTCAATATAATTAACAACTTCTAAAGTTAAAATACCACCGACTGCTTGTAAAATAAAAACAGCAACCGCTGCTGACCCTAGGAACAAAGCAATCACTAACATGATAAGCAATGGGTACAAAGCATTGCGCCACATTTCGTTTTTCCAGTGCCATTTAGACAAGCCCAAACGTTCTAAACGAGCCACTTCTAGTTCCCACGCTACCCGAATTGAACCATTCACAGCACCTTTCAAAAAGGTGTACAAACTCATACCCTTAGGAGCAGATGATGGGTCTAAGGGTGTCGAGACATGAGCATGATGACCACGATTATGCTCGTTGGTAAAATGGCCATAACCCACGGTGTGGAGATAGAGTTTAGCCAACCATTTATCAAAACGGTTGTGGCGATGCCCTAACTCGTGTCCTGCATTCATCATCAGTCCTGCATAAGAGCCTAACGACCACCCCAAACCCAAAATTTCCCAGCCTGCTAGATTTTGTCGACTCGCATAAACAAATGAAGCAATGGCAGTTAATAAATAAATTGGCACCGCTAAACGTACAACCAAATCATAATATTGGTCACTATTGATCAGTTCTTCTTCTGTTGGTGTGTAATTGGTTTTATCGTCCCCAATCCAATAATCGGCAATAGGAACAATCACCCATGCAAAAAATGCACCAAAATACAGATAAGCACCTCCCATATAGAGCATCCAAGCAAAAACCATGGGAATAATAAACATGACGAGATACGAATATTTTTTTGCCGTTTTCCAACTGGCTTGACTCAATGTGGCCATAAAAACTCCTTTTACATGACTTGTCGATCACAAAAATGGAAATCTCCTATTGATAAGGATTTCCAAATGTTGACAGTATGCATATTAAGCCATTTAACCGTTGACTGCAATTAAAAACGAACAAAAAACTTGCTATTTAGTAGTGAATATCTAAAACTCAGGGTGGTTTTAAAAATTATAAATTACATTCATTATCTTATACAAAAATTTAAAAATAAACATCCCTTATCTCACCCACAGAATATGCGATATTGGAAAGGAAAATGTTAAAATAGCAACACTTTGTGTAGGTTTTGAGTTTATACCTATTGGCCTTCAAACGCTACTTTACCTTGGTTGATAGCTATATGGTCATCACACCTTTGTTACGATTTTCTGTAACACATTGAAAGCGAACGGTTATTAAACTCTCACGAACAAAACAAATCCTTTAATATTTTATTTCCAATACTATGAACCAATACACCGCCCCCACAAAAGATATGATGTTTGTGATCGAACAACTCGCAGGTCTTGATCAAGTCAATCAAATGCCCGTGTTTCAAGAGGCCACTAGCGACACGGTGCAAGCGGTCTTGGAAGAATCAGCCAAACTCACGGGCGAAGTGATTGGACCTTTGAATGTCGTGGGTGACCGGGATCCGAGTTTTTGGAATGCCGACAAAACCGTGACGACCACGCCTGGTTTTAAAGATGCTTTTAAACAATACGTTGACGGAGGCTGGCAAGGTCTGATTCATCCGACTGAATTTGGCGGTCAAAACTTACCCAAACTGGTGGCAACAGCTTGTGCTGAAATGTTGCACGCCTCTAACTTATCGTTTGCCTTATGTCCACTCTTAACCGATGGTGCCATTGAAGCCTTATTAACCGCTGGCAGCGATGAAATGAAAAATCGTTTCATTCCTAAGCTTATTAGCGGTCAATGGACAGGAACGATGAACTTGACCGAACCCCAAGCAGGCTCTGATTTAGCACTTGTGCGCACACGTGCCGAACCACAAGCTGACGGTACTTTCAAAATCTTTGGCACCAAAATTTTTATTACCTATGGCGAACACGATTATTGTGAAAACATCTGTCATCTCGTTTTAGCACGCACGCCTAATGCACCAGAAGGTGTCAAGGGTATTTCTCTATTTATGGTCCCTAAATTTAACCTCAACGCTGACGGCTCATTAGGTGACCGCAATGATGTCTATTGCGTCTCAATCGAACACAAACTGGGCATCAAAGCCTCTCCTACGGCTGTTCTACAATTTGGAGACAATGGTGGTGCGGTTGGCTATTTGATTGGTGAAGAAAATCGTGGCTTAGAATATATGTTTATTATGATGAATGCCGCGCGTTTTGGTGTCGGTATTCAAGGACTTGCCATTTCTGAGCGCGCGTACCAACAAGCGGTGACCTTTGCCAAGGAACGCGTTCAATCCCGCGATTTAAGTGGTTCAGCAGGCCCTGTGACCATCATCCATCACCCTGATGTCAAACGCATGTTAATGACCATGCGTGCAACAATTGAAGGCGGACGAGCCATGGCATACCTAGGTGCTGCTTATTATGACTTTGCTCACCACCACCCAGACCCAGCCGTACGTGCTGAAAGTCAAGCCATGTATGAGTTTTTAGTACCGCTCATTAAAGGACACTTAACCGAACAATCCATTGAGGTGACTAGCTTGGGAGTTCAGGTACATGGTGGCATGGGCTTCATTGAAGAAACTGGCGCGGCACAACATTACCGAGATGCCCGCATTTTACCCATCTATGAAGGTACAACCGCTATCCAAGCTAATGATTTAGTTGGGCGCAAAACCCTGCGTGACGGTGGCAAAACTGCCAAAGCTGTTTGCGCCTTAATTGCCAAAACAGAAAACGACTTAGCCGCCTGCACCACCAAACAAGCTAAGGATATGGCTAAACAACTCGGTCTAGCTCGTCAAAACCTAGAACAGGTTATTGATTATGTTGTTCAAAATGGCAAATCAGACATCAAAGGTGTGTTTGCAGGCAGTGTGCCCTACCTTAAATTAGCTGCCTTGACGGTTTGTGGTTGGCAAATGGCACGCGCTATCATCGTGTCAGAAAAAAACCGTGATCAAGACCCCAACTTTTATGACAGTAAAATAGCGGTGGCAGGGTTTTATGCAAACTACTTGTTGCCACAAACCCAAGGTTTGGCAAGCAATATTTTATTGGGTGGGGCAGATGTTAATGCTTTGGATGTAGAGCAGTTTTAATACTTCATCCTGATCTAAGCGCTACTTTGTCCATGGCTCCTCTAGCCTAGCACTTTCGCCGACATATATAGAGGCTATGAGCCCTCTACGCAGATTAGTTGTGCAATGATCGTTAAATGGATTAAAAAAGGTGCAATGCGGTTTCCACCTTATTGCACCCTACATCAGTTGGTTAAGTGAGGCAGTGTTAAAGTAGGTGGTAGGGCGTAATAAGCCAAGCGCATTACGCCACAAAGTCACCACGTAATACTCATTGCGACGTACTGCAGTAATGGGTGACCCATTGATTTTCATCGATTTTCAGGGTGTGACTGTTTGAGTATCGAAGCCAAGCCCTGTTATCTGTTCAACATAATACGCATAAAGCCATATCATCGCTTCTGTTGCATCTTGGGTGTCATAAAACCGCGTCATGACTTGGTTGTATTTCAATTTGTCTCTTGCCAAGATCGTGAGCGGGGGCAAGCCTGCGGTCAGTAACGTGCCATTGGCCAAAAGCCGTGATGTACGTTTATTACCGTCATAAAAAAATTGGTTAAGACTGCCCCATAAAAATATGAGCCATGCTTTCAATAGGGGGTCATCAATCGTATTGAGCTCTTTGACACCTTGCTCAAAAATAGTCTCTAGATCTTTGGCTTGTGGTGGCGCATATTGTGTACCACCGATGAAGACTTGACCGTCCCGAAACTGCCCCCATGTTAATGCTTCGCCACGAGCAACTATCCCTTGAATAGTACACGCAGCATCTTGATTAAGCTCGAATGCATGAGACTTAACCAAATCAATAACATAAGATAACGCACGGTTGAGATTGAGCACTTGATCCGTGTCTGATACTTTGTGTCCGCCGACTGTGATTCCCTCGATGAGAGTTTTAATTTCAGGATAGGTATAGGGATTGTCTTCAAGGGCTGCGGTGTTGTAGACAAAATCAACCCGCATTTTTTCAGCCATAAAAAGCGCACGGTTTATATTGGGAATGAGTGTGGTGGCTTTTCTGACATGGTCAATTTGCGCTGTATCGTAAGTGAACATCAACTGCCCACGTTCTGGCAAAATAGATTCTAGGGTCATGGAAAATATGAAGTAATGAGGTATTGGTGGTGATTGTACCAAAACACACCGTTTATGCAAATTTGATTTGACTAGCAGTATTAACACAAATGGGTCACAAAAAACGCCCCTTAAAGAGGCGTTTTGTCAATCGTCAAAAACATGGTTTTAATTGATCAGTTAACTGACCTTATTTTGCTACTTTTAAATCAAATATGCAATAAAACAACAATAAAGGCATCGTTCACCATGATCAGGAAGCATAAAATACGGTTGATGTCAAAATAAAAATACGATTATACCTTGCGCATCTACGCGAACTCATGATCACAGTCCAGATTACAATTCCACAATAGAAAATTGATTAAACACAGAAGTATGGATAGTCGTAGCAATGTTTGAAAACAATTGAAACGTCACTGTTGTGCCAGCCGTAAGTGCTGTGACACTATTGGCGCATACTGAACCATGCCCTGTTCTGCCAACTTGAGAGAAAAAAGCAGCGATAGTTGTGTTTCCTGCAGAAGGAACAATCCGAACTGACCATTCCTGGTTCAGTGCCCACACAGCTGTGTTAGCTGACATCGCACAAACATTTACAGCATAGTTCCCTGTTCTTGGGGCAGTAAAGGTATTTGCCGAAAAAGTGTTGATATTATCGGTGGTTTCAACCATGTTCAACGTCGTTACAGCCGCTGCTGGTATTGCCATACCTGCTTGAACATTACCAATCACCACCGCTTTGACTGGCGAGGCAGCAAGCACATTCCAACTTGTGCCATTGGAATACTGAATCTGACCACCACCTCCAGAAGAGTATGCTATTGCCCCTGCACCAGCTGCAGCGGCTGTTTTGGTTGAAGAGCCCAAGCCCAGTGCGCTATCACCTGTGCCACGCAAGTCGAGTTTGGTGACTGGCGCCGTAGTGCCTATACCTACGTTGCCGGCATTGGTTCCACTGATATCAACGGTAAGATATTCATTACCGGAGGTATAACCGGCGATGGATAATCTTGAGTTTGAGGCATCTACATTGCTATAAGTTAAAGAACTCCACTCTGGAGCACCACCTCCAATAGCAACTTTTGTCTGAGTTCCGTTAGTTGTGGTAGAGTTCCTAAACAACCCCGCAGGTTCACCTGTATCAAAAGCACCAGAAGTTACCGAATCTAACTTACCAATAGGTTCCGTAGTGCCTATCCCAACCTTTCCCGTCTGCGTCACAATCATCGAAGGCGCAACAGACCCTGCCACACCTGAAGCCGCATTATTGGCTGCATTACGAACCAAAAACGAAGGTTTGGCTAAAGTAGGGTCAGCATTATTCGTGCCACCGACCACTTCCAGCACGGCATCGGGTGTTCGTTGTGCAACGGTCGTACCAAAATTAGCTGCGCTATCGGCAATTTTTGTATCGGCATAAGCCGCACCGCCAACGAGTGCTGCAGCGCACCATATCAAAGCAAGATGAGATTTTTTAACGGGATGAATGGATGGGTTTTTCATAGCGCGACCTCCTAAGTTAGATTAAATTGCTTAAAAAATACGGATGAGCAGACTTGATCCTGAGCCACTTGCATCAGACGAACTTTTCCTATCTTACGACTATAGCCCAAAGTGGCAAGAAGGCAAGAAGGCAAGAAGGCTTCTCATCAGTCACATTATAACGAAGCTTCTTTTAAAAAGTTTACTGCAAACACATTAAAATTCATCTGCTGATCAGTTTATTTTAAATGAAAACTAAATAAGTTGCGTATTTTCCATGACGATAGCATGAATTGTGCCACTCCTCTTTGTCTGTGTTAGTAATATCTAAGTCTCGTTCGTATTCAGGGTGTGGAAATCGACATAAATAGCTACTTATACTACGCGTAACAACGCTAACAAAATTAGGGTGATCATTATTGTATTATATTGAAATATTTTAAATAACTGTATTTTTAAGGTTAAAACATCTATTATTATGGTTTGTGGACAAAGTACATAAACAAGTCTTCAAAGCGTAATATCCTCTATAATTGAATTATTGTTAACACAGATAATTGAGAGGTCAAAATGGACACGCAAGCACAAATCAAAGCTATTGTTGAGTCTAACCCTGTGGTTTTGTTTATGAAAGGAAGCCCTAAATTTCCGATGTGTGGTTTTTCAGGGCGGGCGGCGCAGATACTGCAAGCCTGTGGCTTGGAAAGTTATCACAGTGTCAATGTGCTTGAAAATGAAGAGATTCGCCAAGGTATCAAAACTTATGCTAATTGGCCAACGATTCCACAGCTCTATATCAAGGGTGAGTTTATTGGTGGCTCCGATATTGTGACGGAAATGTACCAAAGCGGAGAATTACAAGCTTTGCTTAAAGATCTTGTGAATGCCTAAGTGGTGGTGGCAACGTATGTCAATGATTCAAAGCCAATTGTTTGTGAGTCGATGAAGCAACGCTTAGTGGTTGGCATTTCAGGCGCATCAGGCGCAATGTATGCTGTGCGGCTATTACATTGGTGCAAGCAGATGCAAGGCATTGAGACCCACTTGGTGGTTTCGCAAAGTGGCTATCTGAATATAGCCCATGAATTGGGGTTGGACAAAACAGCTGTTCATGCCTTAGCCGATGTGGTGTATCCGTGTAAAGACCTTGGTGCAAAAATAGCCAGTGGTAGCTTTCAAACCATGGGCATGGTGATTGCTCCTTGTTCGACACGTACTTTGGGCGCCGTGGCGCAAGGTATATCGGACAATTTGTTATGCCGTGCCGCTGAAGTCACGCTCAAAGAGCGGCGGCGCTGCGTCATGTTGGTGCGTGAAGCACCTTTGCACTTGGCGCATTTGCGTAATATGACGCAAGTCACTGAAATGGGTGGGATTATTTTCCCGCCCGTCCCCGCTTTTTATCAAAAACCCGATACGCTTGAAGCGATGGTGGATGACACGGTTTTTCATGTGCTGCGTTTAATTGGGATCGAAAACGAACACACGCTCAAACGTGAGTGGGGCGGTTTGTCATTTTAATGCCAATTGGGCTTATCTCAAGGCAGAAGAGAAAAGGTGATCAAACCCTAATGTTAAAGATGATTTGACTGCTCAAGTGCGAAACATTTTTTTTACCTCAGGCAAACAAGAACCACAAGAAGTTCCACATTTTAATTGTTCCTGAACCATTTCCAGTGTTGCCCCAGCAGCGATCATCTTGGCAATGGCTTGATCGGTTACCCCGAAACAATTGCAAAGCGTTTTGGTGGTGGATAAATGACCATTGGGCGGACTGGCAAAGGCACCCAATAACCAATAACGATAGGTTTGAATATCTTCTCCCGATTGTAAAATCGACTTAATCCACGCCCATGCTTGTGTGTCACCAGCCAATCGAAGGGCAACGAGTGCATTCCCTGCAAAGCGCACCCGTTTATCAATCCCTAATTTCTGATCTTGCAAGATGGAGACTTGCATGGGGTCATTAAGCTCAAGCAGTTCATCAAGACTATTGAGGATAGCAGGTGAAATGGCCACTTCATGAGCAGCCCACAATACACAATAAGGTTTTTCACGCCCAAAAGCCGTGATATGGCCATAACTAAAAGAAGATAAAAAAGGTTGTAATAAGGGTTGCCATTGGCTGGGTTCTCCAGTGATGACAGCAACCAAACGGTGCGGCAGCTCGACGGGCTTGATTCGAACCACCGCATGTTTGATTTCAGGTTGCTTGGAAAAGGGGTCTAAAACTGCCGTGGTGAGGACGTTGGCTCCCCAATGGCTTAACTGTTGACCACTCCAATGCATCGGTATAAAAACTTGCCCACGAGAAACTTCTCTTGATATTTCAACAGGTAAAATAATCTTGCCACGTTTGGATTCAATTTGAACTAAAGCATTGGAAGGTAAAGCTAATTTGGCTACATCCAGCGGATGCATCGAGACGGCAGGCGTGTCTGCATGATCGTATAAATTGGCCACACGGCCCGTACGACTCATCCCATGCCATTGATCGCGTAAACGTCCTGTGATCAGGCGAAAAGGATAATGAGCGTTGGGTTCTTCAACCACTTTTTCATAGGGGCAATCGATGAGTCGAGCTTTGCCTGTGGGGGTTGCAAATTGGTGATCGAGATAAAGCCTCGCTTGCCCCTGCGCAAGTTGATCAATGGCTTGATGGCGAAACGGCCATTGTTGTGGACCTTGGGTCTCTAAAATAGCATAACTTAAGTCACCAATATCTAGGTCTCGACCGATCGTCGTTTGACGATGTTCGTTAAAAATGGCTTCTGGTGATTGTAGGTGTTCAAAAAGGAACTTACCATAGCCTAAGTGATCTGCTAAACGATTGGCAATATTGACCACAATTTTCCAGTCATGACGACTATCGCCATAATGAGCAATAGCAGGTCGTACCCGAGAAATACGCCTTTCCGAATTGGTCACAACACCATTTTTTTCACCCCATGTTGTTGCGGGTAAAATAACATCGGCAAAGGCTAGAGTATCGGTATGAAACACATCTTGCACAATGACACATTGTGCTTTAGTCAAGGCTGCTTTCACAAGCTTTTGATCTGGGATAGAGTGCAAAGGATTGGTACAGGCGATCCATAGGCATTTGATTTGACCATCGGCGACGGCTTGAAACATTTCAATGGCAGTTTTGCCTGGGTTTTCGGGAACACGATCAAGACCCCATAAGTTAGCTACTTCTTGACGATGCAAAGGGTTTAATAAATCACGGTGTCCCGATAATAAATTGGCCATACCGCCCACTTCGCGCCCACCCATTGCATTGGGTTGACCTGTTAAGGAAAATGGACCACAACCTAATCGACCAATTTTTCCTGTCGCCAAATGTAAATTAATTAAGGCAGCGTTTTTGTAGGAGCCACTCGCCGATTGATTTAATCCCATGCAATAAAAAGACAAAAAACGTGGGTGTTGACCAATCCATTGGGCTAACGTCTTAATACTGTCTTCTGAAACCCCGCAAATCTGGCTTGCTTCGTAGGGGGTAAAAGCATGAACGCGATTTTTTAGGGCGACAAAACCTTCAGTATGAGCGTCGATAAAATCGCGATCAACCCATTCATGCCAGATGAGTAAATGCAAGATGGCATGAAATAACGCCACATCCGTGCCAGGGACAATGGCTAAATGCATGTCGGCTTGTTCTGCAGTAGGTGTCTTACGCGGATCAATCACCACGATTTTTAAATGCGGGTTTTTTTGTTTAGCCGCTTCAATGCGTCGGTATAAAATTGGGTGGGCGTAAGCGGTATTCGAGCCTGCTATTAAGATTAAATCGGTTATTTCAATATCGTCATAACACGTTGGAACCGCATCGCTACCCAAGGTCATTTTATAGCCTGAAACCGCAGAGGACATGCATAAACGTGAGTTCGAATCGATGTTATTGGTTTGAATTAAACCTTTGGCTAACTTATTAAAAACATAATAATCTTCGGTGAGCAACTGACCTGAAATATAAAATCCAATACTGTCAGGGCCATGGTCGTGTATACATTGCGTTAATTGATGGCTAATGTGATTTTCAACTGCTTCCCACGAACAAGCGAGCAATGGTTGGTCACGATCCGAACGTAAATAGGGAGTCGACAATCGATGATGTTGCTGTTGAACCGTATTGGCAAGATTCATGCCTTTGGTACACAGCCGCCCCGCATTGGCTGGATGATCAGGATCACCACGAACCGCGACAATTTGTTCGTTTTGTGCGCCAATTTCAACACCACAGCCGACACCACAATAACAGCAAGTGGATTTTGTCCACTGTATGGGGGGAGTATCGGTCATCGATAAGCTGGTTGTCATGATCAATCTTATAAATCCAAATAAATAAATTGATCCTCTATTTTGAGGGCAATGCTTTGCGTACAGCCATGATCTGGCGACAAGGCTTGCCCTGAACTTAAATCAATGTTCCAACCATGGAGTGGGCAGGTTACCGCTTGATGATGAATAATGCCCTGAGATAAAGGACCTTTTTTGTGTGGGCATTGGTCGATCAGAGCAAAATAATCATTGTTACTATTACGGAAAATGGCAATATCAATTTTTTCAGGTTGTTGTACACAACGAGCACTTAATGGAGCGATGTCATTTTGATGACAAATTTTTGTCCAAACCATGGTTTTTCCTTAAACGGGGCTAGTGATTTTCAGGGGAGTATATTCTTGGTTAAATTGACCATCAATGCGTTCTTGCCAAGGGTCTTTGATAAAACTTAATGCATAATCCAGTCGTTCCACCAAGGCTAATCGCTCAGCTTCATCGCTCACAACGCGAGATTTAACATATTCAAGACCAACCCGATTGACAAAATGAACGGTGCGTTCCAAGTAATAACCTTCTTCACGGTAGAGTTGTAAAAAGGCTTTTGAATAACACTCCACATCGGCATCAGTTTTTACTTTGACTAAAAATTGAGCGACTTCCGTTTTGATACCACCGTTTCCTGCAATGTACAATTCCCAACCTGAATCAACACCAATAATGCCAATATCTTTAATACCAGCTTCGGCGCAATTTCTCGGGCATCCAGAAACCGCGAGTTTGACCTTATGAGGAGCTCCCATACCAAATAACGACTTTTCAAGTTTGACCCCCATATCCATCGAGAGTTGTGTACCAAAACGGCAATGTTCTGCACCGACACAGGTTTTCACGGTGCGTAATGATTTTCCGTAGGCGTGACCAGAAGGCATACCTAAATCTTCCCACATGGGAATGAGGTCTGCTTTTTTGACACCAAGTAGATCGATGCGTTGCCCACCTGTCACTTTAATGGTGGGAACCTGGTATTTGTCAGCAGCATCGGCTATACGGCGCAATTCGGAGGCTGTTGTCAACCCTCCCCACATTCTAGGAACCACAGAATAGGTCCCATCTTTTTGAATGTTGGCGTGAGCTCGTTCATTGATGAACCGTGATTGAGGATCATCTTGAGCCTCTCCTGGCCAGGTGGACAACAAATAATAATTAAGCGCTGGGCGGCAAGAAGCACAACCATTGGGAGTTCTCCATTGCATTTGTGTCATCACATCATGAATTTTGACAACCTTGTTGTTACGGATAAACTGTCGCACAAGTTCGTGTGAGGCATCGGTACAACCGCAAATGGATTTTTGTGAAGGGGCTGCTGCATAATCAGATCCCAAGGTATTTAAAAGAATTTGTTCAACCAACCCCGTACAGGAGCCACAAGAAGCTGAAGCTTTGGTGGCTTTACGAACTTCGTCTAAGGTGTAACATTTTTGTTCGTTAATGGCTTTAACAATGGTTCCTTTACAAACACCATTGCACCCACAAACTTCATCAGCATCTTGTAGTGCTTTAGCTGTGTTGTGACCAGAAACCCCCGCATCACCGATATTGACATCGCCAAATAATAAGGTGGAACGCAAATGACCAATATCGGTTCCTTCACGCATGAGTTTGTAATACCAAGAGCCACTACTGGTATCACCATATAAAACACTACCAATGAGTTGATTATTCTTAAGAATAATTTTTTTATATATGCCATTGGCAGGATCGGATAGAACGAGCTGATCGCAATCCTCTCCGCCTGAAAAATTCCCAGCAGAAAATAAATCAATACCAGTTACTTTAAGTTTGGTTGAAACGGTCGAGCCAGCATAATAACGATGACCCATCATGGCTAAATGACTAGCACAAACTTTGGCTTGTTCATAGAGCGGTGCAACCAAACCATATGTAATGCCTCGATGACTAACACATTCACCAACCGCATAAATTTTGGGATCGTAAGTTTGCATGGTATCATTCACGTAGATGCCACGATTGCAATGTATTCTTGCTTTCTCGGCCAGAGCTGTATTCGGACGAATACCTGCAGCCATCACAACCAAATCGGCAGGAATTTCTGTGCCATCAGCAAATTGAACAGCTTTGACTCGACCCTCTTGCCCGATTAAAGCTTTCGTTTGTTGTCCCATGTAGAACGTTAAACCGCGGTCACGTAAGGTTTGTTCGAGTAACTTGCCTGCTGTTTCGTCAAGTTGCCTTTCCATTAACGTTGACATCAAATGCACGACACTGACTTGCATACCTTGTTTGGACAGTCCATTAGCCGCCTCTAAACCCAGTAGACCACCACCAATTACCACAGCGTGTTGATAGTGTTGAGCTGCATCCAACATGGCTTGTGTATCAGCAATGGTGCGATAACCAATAACGCCTTCTAAATCATGCCCTGGGATAGGTAAGATAAACGGTGTTGATCCTGTTGCGATGATGAGTCTATCATAGGGAATTTGTTCAC